CTCAAATGACTCTAGCTTGTGTTAAGTTGACACACAAAACTAGCCAGTACACCTAGCATCCAAGATAGACACAAAATGATTTCAATAGCTCAGTATGCATAGAAGTGTCAACTTATTTTATTGTACCCAAACAAGTCATGCCCTTCCCCTGGATTCTGTTATTAGTGAAGCCCATGATTTCTTTTCTTTCTTCCTTCCTTCCTTCCTTTCTTCCTTCCTTCCTTCTTTCCTTCCTTTCTCTCTCTCTCTTCTCTCTCTCTCTCTCTCTCTCTCTCTCTCTCTCTCTCCCTTCCCTTCTCTTCCTTCCTTTCTTTCCTTTTCTTCTGGTTGTAAAGACATACTTATTAAGGTTTATATGACTTTTATAAAATATAATTTTCATTTATTTTTCAGGGTTCTACATTAACAAAACTGTTGCTGATTAGATTGTTAGAAGACTTGTTTGTCCATTCAGTCTATTAATACAGAGTTTAACAAGCACTAACTATATGACAAGCTCCATTCTAGACACTAGAGATGTAGCAATAAGCAGGACAACCAAGACAGCTGGCAGCTTGAGAAGGCTAAGGTAAGAAAACAGAACAGAAAATGTGTACTCAACAGTCTCATTTCCGTCCCCATTTGGCTGTGAAAGGATCTGGAACTCTAATTAGGGAATCTCCCTGCTGGGCTGTGTGTTTGTAAACTGAAAGACAAAAGATGCTTCCTGGTGTTGTGTTTCATTTCAAACAGTACTTTGCAATCACAAGAACAAAACTGCAGAAATGGTTGAAAGAAACTTTAGAAAGTAGGCTCTGTGATCACCTCCTGTCCTGAATTTACCTGCTCTGTGCTCTGGTTCTGAGAGTCATAGGATTCTCCTGTTTCCTTTTGGTCTTGCCCTCAACAGGAATGAAACAGGCAGGCAGCTATGGGTGAAAAAATGATTAGGATTTTATTTACATGGGAGGAGCAATTCAAACAGGCTGGACACCACACAAGTGTGACAATCCAAACAGGAAGATAAACTTCCCAAATTCCTCTTGACAGAGGGACAGCAGTTGAAAGGTTTCTAGCAAGCATTACAGCTCTAGATTCCCATCAGACCTCAGATGCCAACCAAGAACAGTTCTTCATGGAATAAGTCCACGGAGAGCAGATCTCAGAAGCAGTTGGTCTCAGAGGATAGGCAGTCAGTTTCTGAAGCAATAATTTGTTCCCTGTCTGCAGATGGAGCCCAGAGTTTTAGAGGCCAAGATAGGAACAACTACCCATGCCAACACAGCCAGAGTATAGATGACATGTGTCAAGGCAGGAACACTGTTCCTCCTCTTCATTCTCCTCAATGCTCTGCTGAGTCTGAAGATAGACTGCCTATGCAACAGTTTACATAAACCAAGGTAGGCCTAGATTAGTTGGGTGTTTGTTTGTAAATGGTATATAGAGTGAGAACCAGTCAGAAGAGATCTGGGAAATACGGAGGAGATAGGGAAAACTAAACCCACCAAAGAGTTCCCAATCTGGTCACAGTGGTTTAGGAAAGAGTGTACTGTCACAGAAGGATAGCAGGTCAGTTTGAGCCTGAGAGTTTGAGTCTGTTTCTAGCTGCCAGCAGTCTTCTATTTCTAGTTATCACCATCTGCAACTAGGTCCATGTGATCATAAATGTTCCTGCGGGAAGTCATCAAATACAGTTCATTGTTTGCTCTGTTGATGCTACTATTCTCTACATTGTAGTTGTCCCAACCCTCAGGACAGCAACCTAGAGCAAGAAGTCCAAGGAGGGGAATGGGGACAAGAGACACGAGAGAATAACCACAAGACAGGATTCTGATCAAGTGGTGAATTTTATTTTTTCCAGGCTAGCTTATATAGTCAGTAGTATGGGGCAAAGGGGAGGGGGCGAAGAGGCCAAGAGCCAGGTGTTAGTTTAAGCAGGATGTTAGAAAACTATAGAAAGAGGATATTGGCAGGGTAAAAAGTTCATGAGTGATGGGGAAAGGGAGGGTTACCTAGGTGAGTGGTGGGGCGAGGGAGGGTTGCTTAGGTAAGTGGGCCTGTGGTTGGAACAAAGGATTGACATCTGGGTCATGTTGTTCCTTCTGAGTGCTCATGCTTCTAAGAAGCCTATAATAATCGAAAGACAGTTCTATAATTATGTGGCTTGTCAAGTTTGGCCTAAAGGTTCATGCTAAGCTTTACAGCTCCCAACGTATTCCCCCTTCCTTGTATTAAAGGAAAAGGCCAAGTTTTGCAGCAGAGGGGGATAGAGGCCTGTCGCCCTAGCAGATTGAGCAGGGTAGACTCTTGTGCCACTCAGGACAGGAATTTGGATCCATCAAGGCAAGTGGTGTTGGGGTAGCCAAGGTCATCCTCTTTGGAGGAGAGTTTATGGTAGTGAACCTGAATAGGCCTAGTGGCAGACTCTATCTGCTATTTGATAAAGACCACTAGTTGGTTGAAGGCCCAAGGACCAAAGGATACCAATAGCAGAAGTCCCACAAGGGGTCCCAGGAGGGAAGGTAGGAGGGTGCTAAGCCATGGGGAAGTGGAGAACCAGTTTTGGTACCAGGCTTCCTGTTGTTCTCTTGCCTTTTGGTGTTTTTTTAAGCCCTCTCTGATTCTAGCCATGCTATCTTTAATGACTCCTGAACGGTTAATGTAAAAACAACATTCTTCTCTGTGGGCAGGGTAGATGCCCCCTTGTTGGAGGAGGAGTAGATCTAGGCCTCTTCTGTTTTGTAGGACTACCTCAGCTAGAGATTGTAGGGATTCTTCTTTTTTTCTGATGCAAAAGCAAAGAGTCTTTTATTATTAACAAGTTAACTGCATTAACTCAGGCCCTCTGTCCTTTCCACATGGCAGGTCAGGGCAAGAAGGACCCACGGGAACCTTGAGGCATGGAATTTATTGTACAGTATAAGGGGAGTATCTAGGGGTATGCAACAGTCTCGGGATTGGTGCACTTCTGGGCTTTGGTGACCTGTCCTGTGTTGATTGGTCAACTGGTTGTTATGGTCTATAGTCCCTCCCAGGGTGGTTGCTAAGCATGACAGCTAACTTCTTTTTTTATTTTTAGTTTTTATATATTTGAATTACAAACAAGATTGAATTACATGACGATCCCAGTTCCCTTCTCCCTCCCTTCCTCCTCTACC